CCCCCCCCCCAACGAGAAGCGGTTGCAACCTTGGAGTATGTTCTGCTGAGTGTCCTGGGCCTTGGCGTTCGGGATGGGAGCAGCAGTGGCGGTGGGGACGTGGGTGACAGAGAGCAGCAGCAGCAGCAGGACCAGTGGGCCCCACATGGCTAGGCCGGCAGGGCTGCAGGGCGGAGGCGCGGGGGTCAGAGGCCGTGCCCTTCGCCCGGGCCCCTCCTGCCCAGCCCCTCTTCTCCCCTCTACGATCCCTCAGCCCCCTTCCGTGTGCCCGGCCCCTCGCCCCAGAGGCCTGGTCCTTGCCCCCAGGGCTCAGTCACCCTTCACCTGTCCACAGCCCGGTCACTGGCCTCGGGATCCCCAAGGACGTTAGATCCAGACAGTTGCCTGAGCGGCCCCGGGAGCTCTCAACGCCGGCTCGAGCCCAAGACGCCCAACTGCTGGCCACGCTCCCGCCGAGCCACGCCCCCCACTGTTACACCCACCCCTTGGCGCAGGCCACGCCCACGGCCGCTCCTCAAACCACGCCCACCCCTTTACACCCACTCCTTAACCACGCCCACTACGCGGACATGCCCACTCCTCAAACCACGCCCCTTCTTTAACCACGCCCACCACACGTCCAGCCCATCCCTCAAAACACGCCCATCGCACGACCACGCCCACTGCGCGAGTCACGCCCACTCCTTAAACCACGCCTACCCCCTTAACCACGCCCCTCGGGTCCAGACAAGTCTCCGCCCGCTAGACACGTCTCCGTCCCCACAGGCCACAGCCCTGAGCCAGAGCCACCCCCTATTTCCTGAGCAAGACCCGAGAGACGCACCCCACCGTGTCCCTCCCCCGCGGGAGCCCCCAGCCCCGAATTCAGCCGCCAGCGCTGTTCCCCGGGAAGCGTCGTGCTCCCGCAGATCCCTGCAGCTCCCCCGGTTCACACTCTGTCCCGCGGGTCCCAGCCCCCCGATTCTGTGTCAACTCCGGAGGCCACCCGGCTGCTGGGGCGCCCCTCCCTGCAGCCAGGCCTGCGGTTCCTGCAGGCGGGCGCGGGGGCAGCCACGGGGGGCGCTGCGCTGCTCCTCCCCGGGGACTGTCCCCCCTGATGTCCAAGGTCTGAGCGGCGCGATCTCTTCTTTGGTCCAACTTTCTGGTGAGGGTGGACGCGGTGCCCGCTGCTCCAGGACGGCTTAAGTCACGAGATGAGAAGCCTATCTTTCGAGTGATGGCCTCGTTATAGGAACTTTCAAATTTTATCTGTAATATTCTTAAATTTCACTTCGGTGAGGTATCACCGGCCTTTCTTTTGAGGTCATTTTGGGTTTTTCCATCTGTGAAACGAAGTCGCTCCCCTTCTGGTAGCTCCTCCCCTCCATCGGCGGCGGTTTCCCCATTTGGAGACTCCTGGTATCTTGCTGAAATCTCTCCTTCTACCCTTTTCACGTCGTATTTTCTTTATTCTTACTGGAGTCGCCTGCAAAACCCCTCCCCACACAGCATCTTCCAGCCCATGAGCCATCGGCTCATCTAATGGATTGGATTTTTATTTTTTCCTGATTCCACATCACAATATTAGGCAGGGGGGAAAATGTTAACCTTGGAAACTGAGTGACAAATAACAAGAATCTGTCTCTATGCTCCATACGCCCCCTTTTGAACTGTTTCTACCTCGCAGGACCATGACTTGTTTCTCCGACGTTTCCTTGGCACAGGCGGTTCCCTCTGGCCTTCCTCAGTGGCTGCGGTCCTTAGATGTCCTTCTGACAGAGCCGTTTCCTCCCGGGGCTCCTGCTCTGGCTGGAGGGAAGGCCCGTCGCCCTGTCCCCTCAGTGTGGGTTTATGCTGGACACATGCCCCAGACCCCAAACACAGCCAGCTGGGATCCACGACCTCCGCTTGTCCAACCCTCCCAGACTACTGTGCTACAAAGATTGCCCCCCTTTCTATGGTCCTCACTAAACGTCACATTTCTTCTGCAGTGGTGAGAGCTTGGCTGGTGTGGGGGGGGGGCCTTGGAGAAACACTCCAGCTGAATGCCAGCTGCGTCCAGGGTGCGGGGTTCAGCACTGAGCAGAGTGTCCCTCCTGGTCCCCTGCGTCATCAGGGCTGCAATGACTTGCCTGGGCACATGCGTGGAGAAAGGGTGCATTTCCCAAGTTTTGCTCAGTGGATGCCACACTATTTGCACATTTCTTCATCCCCACGTGCCACATCTTCTCCACAGACAACGGTCCCGCCTTCCCTCAGAGGATTTTTGCCATTATTTCCACTCCACACCCTTTGCTCCCAAGCCAGCGATTTAATGGCAGTCCAGCAGTTTGACAGGATCCACAGGAGTTCACGCCGTTTAATGTCAAGGGGCATTTTTTGCCGTGATTACCACTGTAGCAATCGGGAGGGGGTTACACATTTTGTTGCACTTCTTTGCTGCCATCACCTAATTTAATCTGGGGAGCACTGCAACACTGGTGCTGCGTGTCACATGCTTCCCCTTTGAAGGGCCGGGTTGGCTGGACAAAGTATCTGACCATAATCTGGGACGGAATAGGAACAGCGGTAGACTTCCGTCCTCAGGCATACGTGTGCTTGCATTGTCTTTTACTCTATTTAAGAGACTTTAGAGAAAATTTTGAAAACTTAACTGACCCCAAGTTGAACAGGAGTAAGTATGGGGATGGAGGAGGGGACCTCATGACAAGAGCAGGCCATGTGGAAGGGGAGCCACGGCCTTGCTTGACCACCTGCCTAGTGGTTAAGCCCAGTGGACTGCGAGGACAGGCAGCCAGTGTGGGGATCAGACCTTCCGGTAGGTGCAGAGCATCTGTTCACACTTTCCACTCAGGCGAATGGGGAAAGGGGACATAAAACCAAGTACATGCCGTCCGCTCCATCAAATGTCTTCATTCATTCCTGCATGCCATCAGCTGAGCCCAGCTGAGAGCTTCATTTTTTATGGTGCAAAGTCTTAGTTAACTGTTTCCTTTACTCACATTGGTGCTGGTAACTGTGTATCTGAAGGGATTACCTGAAACCTTTTAGATATACTTTTTAATCAATCAAACACCACTATATTTACATCAAAGGAAGGTCACTCCTATGATAGGGTAATGATGCACCCTGAACTCAGAAACATGAGCAATTTGAGAAAACAGGAAATGTTTACACACATTAGTTCTTTATTGAAGAGGCAGCTCAGACCCATTTATATATGCAAAGGATAGGACGACAATGGTTCTTTAAAATACATATTATAGTAATTAAGTTTTATGGTCACAGTGTAGGAAATCTTAGCAGTTGACATTAAAACTACTATGAAAAGTACTTTCTGCATGGAATTATGCAAAATCTACCACTGAATTCGTTCTGCAGCATATTCATTACCATCTAGAAAAATACGGCAAAAGTGCTGAGCAACAAAAATGGTAGACACCTGTGACTCTAAAACTTTTTGTGGAAATGCAATAGACATGCAGGAACACAGGTATCCCCAGTGCCCAGAACCCTGGATATTCAGCATCCACGTTTCAAAACAATGTTACCAGCACCAGCGGGCCCCCTTCAGCCTCAGCCCAGGCTCGCCCCTCCTGATTTCTAACTGCACATTTTGCCTGTTCCTACACTGTACACAGAATCACACACGGTGGTCGCTTTGGTGTCTGGAGTCTGTCATTTGACCTTGTTTGTGAAACTGAGCCGTGCTGTTCATTCTCTGCTTTACAGCACTCTGAGCGGAAACATACCACTTAGGGCCACTCACCCTACTGCTCATATGCCTTCAGACAGCTCTGGCTTTTGAATTTTACACCGTGAATATTCCAGAACATGTCCTCTGAAGGACATGTACAAGCATTTCTGCTAGAATGGGGGTAAAGACCATACACATGTTCGGCTGGCAGTGCCGGCCTCCAAAGCAGTTCTATCAACGGGCAACGCCAGCAGCAGCACAGGCTGCCTGTTGCCTACATTCCTGCCAAAACATGACGCTCTCTCATGCCTTTGATTCTAACCATTTCAGGGGGTGGATCAGTACCACACGGTACTTTTAAAATGTGCGTTTTCCTGATTACTAGTAAAATGAACATACCTTTCCATGTTGGCTGGCCATCTGGATATCCTCTTTTGTGAAGTGGATGCCCAAGTCTTTGGACCATTTTCTAATTTTTGTTGATGTGTAGTTTTCTTTTTATAGTTTAGATCAGGGCTCAGCAACTATGGTCTGCAGGCCAAATTCAGACTGCCACCTGTTTGTGAATAAAGTTTTATTGGGACACAGCCATGTTCATTTGTTTATGTATTGTACATATGGCTTTCACCACACAGTAGCAAAGTTGAGTAGCTGTGACAGAGACCGTCTAGTCTGCAAAGCCCAAAATACATACCACCTGGCCGTGAGAAACATTTACCAGCCCCCTTCCCTCAAGCTGGCAGTCGTGTGAACTGCAAATGTCTCCTCCTCTGTGGTTGGCCTATCCGCTTTCTTAAGGTGTATTTTTGATAAACAGAACTTTTAAAACCTAATATATCCTAACATATTTCAGTTTATGGTTTAGTGATTTTGAGCCTTAAGAAAATTTTGTTTACTATAAGGTTACAGTCTCCCAAGTTTTCTTCTTATAGCTTTATTATTTTACAGGTCATATTTAGATCTGCAATGCACCTCAATTAAAACTTTCCATTAAATTATGAAATTTGACAGGGCATTTATTGGAAAGAACATCTTTCCCCAAATTACACTGCCTCATCATCTTCATCCTCGCCTGAGGGTGTCTTGTATGGAAGCGTCTGGACTTGTCCGTTCCACTGGTCAGTTTGTCTGTCTCTGCCAATGCTGCACCATCATAACTCCTGTGGCTTTATAATGGGTCTTATCTGCAAATGTAAGTCCTCTTGCTCTGTCTATTCTAGAAGATAGCCTTGACTACTGTCCATCCTTTGAGTTTTCACATGAATTTTAGAATTAGCTAAATTCCAGTGAAAGAGCTTATCAGGACTTTAATATTGCACTGAATACATGGATTTGCAGAAAACTGACATCTTTTAAAGAACTGTCCTGGAATCCACAAACTATGTATGTCCCTCTGTTCCGCAACTTCTTTGTTTTGTTTTGTTTTTAAAATCTTGTAAGTATGGTTAGGTAAGTTTTCTCCTAGGCACTTGAGGGTTTTTGATGCTACTGTAAGTGGTATTGCTTCAAAATTTTTCATTTCCTATGTTTACTGCTAGTATATTAAAATGATTTTTCATAATGAACTTGTATGCACGGACCTTGCTAAATTTACTCATTAATTCTAATTATCTGTATAATCCTGACATCTCTATGTACCAAATCATGTCATCCGCACATAAAAGTTGTGCTTTACTCTAAACCTTATGCCTTTTGATTATGTTTCTTCCCTTACTTTCCTGGCTGGGTCCTTCTGCGTTAACACTGAATAAAATCAGTGACAGTAGATATCCTTGTCTATTTTTTTTTTTTAATCTTGAGAGAAAACTTTCAGTATTGCACCTCTAAGCATGCTGCTCAGTGTAGTTTAAGACACTCTTTCTCCTACTAAAGAAGCTCCTTTCTACCCAGTTTTCTAAGAATGTAAGTGAATGGTGATGTGACCGCATTAGTTTCCTGCCTGCTAGATTACTTTTCTTCACGTGGTGTGTCAGTTACTGATTTCTGATTACTAAACACCCTCCCCTTCCTGGAGTAAGACACATTTGATCACTCTGCCCAGGATGGGGTCACCCAACCATTATAAAAGAGCTACGGGCAATCAGATGGGATTATCATGATTGGTTTGGAATAATCAGACTTACCCTCTGAGTCACATGAAGAAATGACAGACACAAAATTCTTGCATCAAGGAAAGAGGGGAGCAAGGACATCGAGTTAATAAAAAATGTCTGCTAGAAACTTGTATTAATTTGTTCCAAAATATTGGAACTAAGGGNTTGACTACTGTCCATCCTTTGAGTTTTCACATGAATTTTAGAATTAGCTAAATTCCAGTGAAAGAGCTTATCAGGACTTTAATATTGCACTGAATACATGGATTTGCAGAAAACTGACATCTTTTAAAGAACTGTCCTGGAATCCACAAACTATGTATGTCCCTCTGTTCCGCAACTTCTTTGTTTTGTTTTGTTTTTAAAATCTTGTAAGTATGGTTAGGTAAGTTTTCTCCTAGGCACTTGAGGGTTTTTGATGCTACTGTAAGTGGTATTGCTTCAAAATTTTTCATTTCCTATGTTTACTGCTAGTATATTAAAATGATTTTTCATAATGAACTTGTATGCACGGACCTTGCTAAATTTACTCATTAATTCTAATTATCTGTATAATCCTGACATCTCTATGTACCAAATCATGTCATCCGCACATAAAAGTTGTGCTTTACTCTAAACCTTATGCCTTTTGATTATGTTTCTTCCCTTACTTTCCTGGCTGGGTCCTTCTGCGTTAACACTGAATAAAATCAGTGACAGTAGATATCCTTGTCTATTTTTTTTTTTTAATCTTGAGAGAAAACTTTCAGTATTGCACCTCTAAGCATGCTGCTCAGTGTAGTTTAAGACACTCTTTCTCCTACTAAAGAAGCTCCTTTCTACCCAGTTTTCTAAGAATGTAAGTGAATGGTGATGTGACCGCATTAGTTTCCTGCCTGCTAGATTACTTTTCTTCACGTGGTGTGTCAGTTACTGATTTCTGATTACTAAACACCCTCCCCTTCCTGGAGTAAGACACATTTGATCACTCTGCCCAGGATGGGGTCACCCAACCATTATAAAAGAGCTACGGGCAATCAGATGGGATTATCATGATTGGTTTGGAATAATCAGACTTACCCTCTGAGTCACATGAAGAAATGACAGACACAAAATTCTTGCATCAAGGAAAGAGGGGAGCAAGGACATCGAGTTAATAAAAAATGTCTGCTAGAAACTTGTATTAATTTGTTCCAAAATATTGGAACTAAGGGGCAGTACACAACATAATGACACTGTATTCATATCAAATAAAAGTACAGATAACATTTCTGGGTTACATAATACTGGCAACACTGCACAATCAAACTATGGGTTAAAAAACAAGAGTGGTATGAGAGCTGGGCATATTTTATAGAGTAATAACAGCAGCATTGTCCTTTTCATTGAAACAGACCTAATTCCAAATTACCTATATGTAGTTTATGAAAATAGTGTGTTTTAAAATCTTCTTTGTTCAAATGTAGTTGAAAAATACAAAAGTCACCATTAATGAGGAATATATTAGAAACCCACTGATAAGTGCCTCAAAAGAATAGAAAGTTACGCATTTAACTACTTTGTACCTGTCAGGCATCTCACCAACATTTTGCCATCTTAAAACTCAGTAAGAATACTGCCTTTTCACAAATTATTCAAACCCAAACTTGCATAGAATTGCATAGAATTGTTAGATTATATTTTAAAAACATGACAGAAACTTCCACATAGGTGTTTAATGCTACTGACCTCATTGGCAAGTCCTGATGATTTGAGAACTTCCTTTTCTACAATAAAGGTTCATTCAGAGGTGATAGCTTCTGATATCTTTCCTATGAACATGTGATTTTACATCAGAAATATGGCTTTTGGTATAACAACTTCCAAGACAAAGTATTTTCTCACGTTTATCACTCTGTCACTCTGACAGACTTTACCATGGTACAACTCCCTGATACGTAAATACAATTTGAATCCAAAATAAATATTAAATATTTATAAACTTGACTCCTGTATAAATTACGTAGTGTCCAATGAGTTGTAGAGTCTTGCTGAAGGCGTTGCTTCCTGTTGCCTTCTTAGGGATTCTCCTCTGTGAAAAGTCAGATTAAAATGAACCTAATGCTGAAATGTTTTCCCCACTCAGAAACACGAACTCTCAGGTCATGATATTTGACTCCAAATCATTATATTCAGAGGGTTTTCTAAAACGAGGTCTGACTTCACAGGAGACTGCCCCCATCGAGTACATTCGCATTCCCTCTCCTATGGATCCTCTGATGGCTGTTGAAGGCTGACCTGTGGTGGAATTTTTTCCCACATTCATTACATTCATAGGGCTTCTCTCCTGAATGAGTCCTGTAGTGCACAGTGAGGTATGACTTCTGAGAAAAGACTTTTCCACATTCGTTACATTCATAGGGTTTCTCTCCTGAATGGCTTCTATAGTGTACAGTGAGGTTTGACATCCGAGAGAAGACTTTTCCACATTTGCTACATTCGTAGGGTTTCTCTCCTGAATGAATTCTATGATGTATGGTGAGATATGACTTCTGAGAAAAGAACTTTCCACATTCGTAACACTCATAAGGCTTCTCTCCTGTGTGTACTCTCTGATGTCTAAAGAGGGACGAATTATGGGAGAAGGTTTTCCCACATTCATTACATCCATAGGGCTTCTCTTCTGAATGACTTCTATAATGTACAGTGTAGTATGACAAATCAGAGAACAATTTTCCACATATATTACATTCATAGGATTTCTCTCCTTTTGGAAGTGACTGGTGCTCACCAAAGGCTGAATTTTCAAGGAAGGTTCTCCCACATTCATTACATTCATAGGCTTTCTCTCCTAAATGAGTTGTGTGATGGTCAGTAACATATGAGAACTGAGAGAACTTTCCGCATTCACTACATTCAAGGGGTTTCTCATCTGTGTGTACTTTCCGATGTCTAATGAAGGCTGAATTTAAATTGAAGGTTTTGCCACACTCATTACACTCATAGGGTTTCTCTTCTAAATGGCTTCTATAATGTATAGTGAGGTATGAGACCCGAGAAAAGAATTTTCCACACTCACTACACTGATAAGGTTTCTCTCCCGTGTGTGTTCTCTGATGTGTAATAAGGGTAGATTTTCGGTAGTAGGATTTCCCACATTCATTACATTTATAAAGTTTCTCTCCCGTGTGTGTTCTCTGATGATCACTGAGGGCTGACTTGCGGGAGAAGGATTTCCCACACTCGTTACATGGATAGGGTCTCTCTCCTGAATGATTTCTCTGGTGGAGGGTGAGATGTGTCTTCTGGCAGAAGGTTTTGCCACATTCACTACATTCATAAGGTTTCTCTCCTGAATGAGTTCTTAAATGTTGAGTGAGATGTAACTTCTGACAGAAGGTTTTCCCACACTCATTACATTTATAGGGCTTCTCCTCTAAGTGTGATCTCCGATGTACAGTGAGGGTTCCCTTCTGGCTGAAGGATTTGCCACATACATTACATGCATAAGGTTTCTCTCCTGTGTGAGCCCTCTGATGTATAATGAATTTTGACTTTTTACAAAAGGATTTCCCACATTCGCTGCATTCAAAGGGCTTCAGTTCCATCTGTGATCTCTGGTACATATGAAAATTTGACATTTGGAGAAAGTCTGGTCCAGAATCACTCCACTCACAGGGCTTCTCCCCCATATAAGCTCTCTTATGAGTAATGAAAACGGTTTCATTGTCTAAGGCTTCCATGCATTCATTATACTCAAAGGGTTTCTCTAAAATATTAATTTTCTGAATACTTCCTTCATTTTGAGAAAAGTCATCCCCATTTTGATTAAATTCACAGGGTTTCTCTCCATGGTTTGTTTTCCCACATTCACTACACTCATCAGGTTTCTTTCTTGCATAGCTTCCATCACTAATAATTAATTCTGAACTAGATTCCAAATTTTTTCCACATGAGACACAATTATGAGATATGCTTGAAGGAACAAGGTTTGCTTCTGCATTCTCTCTCTCTTCAATTAGGATTTTGCTATTGATATAAACAGCTTGCCTTGAACATTCATCTTCATTTTCTTGGATTCTGTCTAACACGTCATCAACTTTCCTGATTTCTTCTGAAAAGGAATAAAGTTAAATAAACCTTGTGAATCTGAATACACCAGCTACAGAATGGGAGTGGTACTCAGGTGCCCTATTGTGGGGTTGACTCTGCCTTTTAGGCCAGTCTCCACAAATAAAAAATAATTACAAGTGTATAATCCTCTTTTCTCCTTGATTTGTCATTCAAGACAGACAGCCTGACTAGCATGGCTCAGCAGTTGAGCATCGACCTAGGATCCAGGAGATCGAGATTTGATTCCCAGTCAGGGCACATGTTCAGGTTGTGGGCTTGATCCCCAGTAGGGGGCATGCAGGAGGCAGCCAATCAATGATTCTCTCATCATTGATGTTTCTCTCTCTCTCTCCCTCTCCCTTCCTCTCTCTGAAATCAATGAAGATATAGTAAAAAAAAAACAAAACACAAAACACACACACACACACACACACAAAGGGGTGGAGCTAGGGGAGGCATGGGGAAGGGATGAGGGTGGGATAGGACTCACTGTTAGTGGATAAAGAGAATAAATTCACATTAAACACAAGTACCTTTGTTACTTTACAAATACGTTCAAAACTTTGGTAGAAAAAGTAAAATAAACACAAGAAGTGATGAGGAAAGGACAAAGTCATTGAAAGAGTGCTAGATCCAGGCAGAAACTGGAGGACTCAGAGCAAATGAGGGCAGTGGAAGAACAACAATTCTGGATGTCCATTCAAAGGAAGCATTCAAGGATGGAATACATTTGGGAGAAATAGATTACAATTTATATTAAAATGTAAGATACCACTCCATAACAAGATTACCATATTAACATCATTAATGTAGCTCCTTTGAAAATCTTTGCCTTTCTACTCTGCACAGAAATCCAAATGGGAACATTCTAGAAGCTCCATTTTCCTCATGTTTAAAGAGAGTCCCACAACCAGGGTCCCAACTCCCTAGCCTTGATCACATTCACCAGGAAGGAGAGTTCCCAGCACATAAGTGTCCCAAAGACATGAGAAAGACCAGAGAGAAAGAGATCTTCCCAATAAGATCAGCTCTCTGAAGGGTTGACAGTCTTATTTAACACTCACTGAACTCATCTGCACAACAGAGCACAGTGGTAAGGAGCACTGGAGCACTGACACAAACACGTTACAAGCTGGGGGACCTTGGGCAGGTGACTTAACTGTGACACAGTTTCACTCACTGAAATGTGGACAATAGTACCTCAATCACAGGGTTGGGAACAGACTAACTTGTTAGCACATGTCATCTGCTTAGAATGGTTGGACACAAAGCAAATGTTCATTAAGTTTCGCCATTAATTTTCTTTCAATTTTCTGACTTAAACTTCCTAAAACGAGTCATGTCCCTGACACAACACTATAACTTAATTCTGAATACAAACAAGAGTTCCCACATTCCTGGGTTTCATATGGTGTAAAGCCTTAAATGTAATTCTTAAAGTTGCCCCTAAAATAATAACTTCTACCTAGGTATCTTACAGATTTTGGGATCCTCTAAACTATTGTTAGCTGCTCTCATGCACATTCACGGCAACACTGACAGTCTATGCTCTGAAATCTACAACATCCTGAGCCCCAAATACCAACAGAAAAAACAGAGAAGTTACCATTCATTCACCAGTAGGATTTTTCATTACCTGGATTCACAATATTCATTCATTCAGTCTTCCAAAAACACCTGCTGCTCCAGGAAGCCAAGGCTCCTTCCCAACTACAAGCCTGTGCTCATGTTCTTGTTCATACGACTTGTACACGCAATAAATAGAGGGAGGCAGGAAAGACACACAGCACTAGTGATGCGGGAAGGTTCTTTCTAAGGAAGTGGACTATCTCACTTCATCTGTCGGGTAAAAGAGACCATTCCACCACAGCTTAAAGGGGGAGGTATCAATTGGGATCAGCAGCATAAATACAAATTCAAAAGTCTTAAAAGTGGAGGCTAGATGAACCCTTGTAAGGAATCCAAAGAGAAGTGAAGACGTGCAAAACAAGTTGCATGGGGCAGCACTCCTGAGGAAGCTGTCTGGGTCCTGGGAGCTGTGACTTCGGGCATCTGAGGCATAGAGATACTGCTGTCGGTCACTCCCAAGGGTCTGGGGGAACTCGTTCTAAAAATGGAATATTCTACTAACTTACCTGGGCAACTCTGGCATGGAAAGTCCCCTTCTGCGCCCCACGGCTCTTCTCCCTGCTCCAACTTGACGATCACACTGGGTTTGGTGCTGTCGTACCCTGTGTGGGGAAAGGAGATGGGCTTGGGCCCGCTGCTGGGCTTCCCCACCTCTGCATGGAGGGTCCCTCCTTGGAGACTGCGTGCTAAGGTGGCCATTTTGCCCTGTATCAAAGTCAGGGCTTTTTGATGGAGAAGCAGAGATAAAATACTCCACCTGGTGCCCAAAGGAATCCAGTGGTCTCATCACTCATTTCTTCACACTCAAGGATAAAATCATTGACTAGAACCAACCCCCAACAGCAGCAATCAGAGCCGCGCTGCTCACCCACGGAGACGAGGTGGCTGTAGTTCTCCAGCATCACATCCCTGTAGGTTGTCTTCTCAGCAGGGTCCAGCTGCTGCCACTCCTCCTGCGTGAAGTCCACGGCTACGTCCCTGAATGACACTGGTCCCTGGAATAGCAGTGATGGGAAATGGGTGAAGTGGACAAGGAGCCTTGTCCATGGACAAGAGCTTTCTGAGCTCACTGGCAAAGTCAAGCACGAACACTGTACCCCTTTTATGCTACAGGCTGTGTAAGGAAAGCAAACCATATTAGAAACACACAATCTCTGGGTTCCTTCTTTTGTCAAAAATTAAAACAACAAAACCCTCAAGCCAAAAAGAAACTGTTTACTGATTTTACAACTGAAGTGTCTCCGAGTTCGGGGGGCTACAGACGAATAAAGCTTCGTGTCCGCTCTCAGAGGGCTTACACCCCGAAAAGGAGATGCCATGTGAATGAACACGCCCACTCTATCCCTTGTCATTTTCTTCAGCTGCCTTTGCTGGTGGCTCCCCCTCTTCCCTGCCTCTTGGTGCTGACACCCATAGACTCCCCTGGTCTTCTTCTTCCCACTGCTGCTCTGCGGTCTCCACTGCCAGCTCTTTGAGTCTCTGACTCCCATTCTCACAGCCAGCTCTCTGCATGACCAAGCTTTCTACTTTCTTAGGGGTTTCTCTCAAGCACCTCACTCCTGCAGCAGTAGTATCTGCTGCCTGCACAAATGCCCGAGGTGTTGTTAGAGGGATGCATACAAGGTGGGGGGGCGGTTTAACAAAAGGGGAGCAAGTGATTGTAATTTCCTGTTGCCAGAACCAGCTTCCCGGGCTCTGCTGGGCATTCCACAGGATGAAGGGGAAGGAAAAAAATGAGGGGAAAGTGCCAACGGCAAAAACAGAAGCCATACCAGTGCTAGGAGGTTGGAACAGTGCACACAGACCAGGAGGGCACTTTAAGGACAGCTCTGTCACAGTAAGAAGGGATTCTAATTTGAGAGTGAGCTAAACATACATAATGACTTTTCTGCCTGAGACCAAACCCAAAAAGTCCAATTCAAAGAAATATCCCAACTGAGTACATTCTCCCAGGAGCCCTGGAACACACTGGTTACCAACAGCAGGGATTTCTCTGCTGGAAATTCCTGAGATTCAGGGTAGAGTAGATGAGACATCAGAGCTGTGGACACACTCTGTACAGGGTAGGTGCTGGGCCGCAGCCTGAGTGACAGCAGACTCACCAACAGAGCCCTGGAACATCCACAGGCCCATCAAGAGGTCCCATCGCGTACAGTGACTGGCTGACCGAAATCAGTCACAGGACCACCTGGCAGCTCAAGTGCCTTCCTGTTCTCAGTGTGCAGAGTAGCCAGCTGAAGGTGGAATCTGATGAAAACCCTGTGGCCCAGATATAACAGCTGCACTACACTCCAAACCCCCCTAATCAGGGTGATGACACACTCCGTCCAAACAGGAAACTTCTGTGGGGGCAAATGATGAACCAGACGGGATACCAGGATTGGAGGTGTAATCCAAGACCATCTCAGGCAAACCGGGACATAGATATTCAGCTCTATCCCTGCTGAACATGGATGCTTTTCCTAGATGCAACTCTCAGAAAACTACTCTCCACACAAGAGCACCCCGAGCAACTCCAGCCTGGCCAAATAGCAAGTGTTGAAGAAACTGAAACCCTTGAGCACTGTTGTTGGGGATGTAAAATGGTGCAGCTGCTATGGATGGATACAGTACAGTGGCTCCTCAAAAAATCAAAAAAAGAATTATCATATGACCAGCAATCCCACCTCTGGGTCTATACCCAAAAAGCAGAAACCAAAGACTTGAAGAGATATTTGTACACCCTGGTTCATAGCAGCACTGTTCCAACAGCTAAAATGTGGAAGCAACCTAAGTCTCCACTGGTGGATGAATGGATAAGCCAAATGTGGCACATGCACATGTGGAACGTTATTCAGCCTTAAAAAGAAGGAAATTTTGACAGGTGCTACAACATGAATGAAGTTCAAGGACATTATGCTGAGTGAAATAGCCCAGTCACAGAGAGACAAACACTGTAGGATTCCACTTACACGAGGTATTTAGAGGAGTAAGGTTCAGAGAGACAGAATAAAAGGGCGGCTGCTGGAGGCTGGAAGAAACGGGGAGTTAGTGTTTAATGGGGACAGAGTTCCAGTTCTGCAAGCTGAGAAACGTTCTGGAGGTGAGGCTGCACGGCAATATGAGCGCTTAATGCCGCAGAACTGCAGCACTTAAAGATGGTGAAGACAGCAAATTTTGTGTTATGTGTATTTTACTACCAAAATAAAAAGAATTGGGGGGAAAATGAAGTGATACCAATCTACTTCCATACACACCCTCCCCACCCCCTTCTGCAGCCATCCCCTCCACAGAGGAGAGAGGAGCAAAACGGGCTCTTCCGTTGAGTACACCCACTTAGCTTTAGCAATGATTCTCTCAAAAACTGAAATGAAAGAAGCCAAAAATTGTCAGCTGAAGAAAACAGCATAAATAAAAGATAAGGCCAAGATGAACCACCCAACAACAGAATCAAGTTCATAAAGGAAACTGACATTATTTTGTATTGATTTATGTTTTCTAATAAAGTTACATTATTTTGCATTGATTTATATTTTTAAGTAAATTAAGCAGGATATTACTTCCATAAAATGAGAACATTCTGCTAAGAAACAGCCACCAGAGACTACTTAGAAATTAAAGACTGGATTATTGAATTTTTTCAAGATCCTCAAGTAAGAAGCTTGAATAACAAATGAGACACAGACTATATACTTCATGAAGTCTCTCAGGACATAAGAAACTGAAACAATGAAAGAAAAATTAAGATAAGAAAGCCAGGTCCAACAGAGTCACCACTTTCAGAAAGACAATGTGCAGGAGACACGGGAAATATTAAAGGCAGAACCAAAAACGATGCTGAGCAGACACGGCAGCCTTCACATCAAAAGGGGCATCTAACATGCAACGAACATGGGGGGAAAGTACCGAGGCCCAGAAATTTCCTGATAAAGTATCCAAACGGAGAAGGAAAAATCCAAAGAGTTAGAGGGAAAAAATACACCTGATCCTTGGTAATTGACACTGCTTCTCATGGAGAACTGCCCACAGCTTTTAAAAGAAAGTGGATTCTGAACCTCAAACTGTGTACCAAGTCAAACTATCACGTAAGCTTAATGACACTAACGGCATTTTCAGAAAAGCAAGATGACTCGTTATCTAATGAGACCGTTTCCTTACAACAGTGAGCGGTGTGCTCCACTCAAACCCACGCGCCAGCACAGGAGCGTGGGGACACCGGCCCGGCGTGAGGGACCAGCGGACACCGTCTTCAGTGCTGTGAGCAGTTGCAGGGGCTGCAAGCATTTCCCTCGTGTTTCAGGAGGGAAGTGCTCAGTAACCGTGCTCCTATCATTTACAAAGGCTGTATCAACAGAGGGTCTAGGCCCACTGACACAGCCCCAACTGTGGGTCCCACGGCTGAGATTCCCTGAGGTGGCAGAGGCAGAGCCGACTGACAGAGCAAAGCAGGACATCCAGGTAATCCCAAGGACAAGCCAGGTGAGCTATCAAATCACAAGGAGGAGGTAATAATCTTGTGGCTTAAATTAGTCTGGAAGGCAAGGAGTGGGAGAGGTTAGAAGACGGCTTTATCAATAAATAAAACTGCATAGCAATATCCCTCATGTCAACACAAATATGAAAAATAAAACACTAGCATGCAGAATTCAATGCCAGACAGCAAAGATCGTATATAGTAGCTAAACGGGACCTATTCCAGGAATACAGATTAGCTGAGTATGTGGCAATCCAGTAACATAATACTCCATTAGAACACAGAGCAGAAGGAAACTCTTGTATCTGCAAAGATGGTGAAAACATCTCCGTCAATATTCAAAACACATACTGAATTTAAAAGAAAAGGAACTGATTGATATTTCGCTAACCTGAACCTATGTATATATTTACACACGGATTCTTATAACACGCATAGTATGTGTGATATATGTACATGCGTATGTGATAGATACATATATATCTCAGTCACACTCAAGCACATATATACACTTTTTAAATTTATACAGACACACACATGCTCACACACACACACGTATTTATGCTTCGGTCCTCTCAGTTCTAAAGTCAGGATTTTACTTTAATGGAGAAACACTAGACATTCCTGCGAGACATGGGAAACGCACAGGAGAGCCCTACAGCTACTGCCAGAGTGCCAGCCATGGAGCAGGGGCGGGAGGACTGAGACAGAGCTGGGGAGAGAGCTGAGAGATGGGGGCATAGGTAGGAAAGCACCAGCCATGAAGAAAAGAATCAGCCCTGGCCGGTTTCTTTCAGTGGTTGGAGCATCCGCCTGGAGACCAAAGGGTTGAGGGTTCAATTCCTGGTCAAGGGCAGGTACCTGGGTTGCAGGTTCGATGCCCTGCCCNTTGCATTTTGACCTTGGTCTAATCAGGCCAATTTTCCACTTTGAAGAACATGATTAATTATCTGGTTCATTTAGGGAAAGGACCCTAACAGAACAAAACATATAAAAAACCAGAAGTTTTACCTTAATTACTAGGATTACAATGCAATTCTTGATACAGTGTGTTTTTCCTCTAATAAGAAAATACACAAATAAAAATGACTCTTTAGAACTATAAATAGTTAAGGAAAGAGATAAATGAATAAATAGTTCAGGCAAATTTATCAGGGAAGGTGAGGTTTATTATACTGTAATATCAAACATATTCTTTTTTTATTCTTCACTTTATTTCATTATATTTTGCACCCAGCCTCCCTTTTTAAAAGATGCAAAGTACTTCTGTGCTATTAAAATCCTGTAGACATAATAGTGAAAAATGTGATCAACTCTTCTAAAATACTTTGAAATTCTGCCATATGCATAAAGTGTCTTCATAATATATATGTAAATGGCACCCTTGATTATTTAAAAAAATACTTCAGCCCTGGCTAATGTGACTCAGTGGTTAGAGTATCAGCCCACACACCTAAGGGCCTGGGGTTCGATTCCTGGTCAAGGGCACATACCTGGGGTGCAGGTTCGATCCCCAACCCTGGTCAGGGCATGGCACGTGCGAAAGGCAACCAATCTATGTGTCTCTCTCACATTGATGTTTCTCTCTCTATTTCTCTTCCCCTCCCTCCCTCTCTCCCTAAAAATCAATGGAAAAAATATACTCGGGTAAGGATTAACAGAAGGAAGAAGGAAAGGGGGGGCACCTCCAGCTGGTAAATGAAGAGGAAATGGTAAAGAAATGTGTCGCCATTTGGTCTCCCCTAGTGAATTAGTGGGTCATGGCAATGAACATCAATCAACAGACGCTAACATCACGAAACAAAGTTGGGAAGGTAACACAACGCAGGCCTCCAGAAGAAAGACAAGTGTCATGGACAACACAGTCTTGCCAAAACAACTGAACCTAAATCTGAAGAAATTTCCAGTTCTAACTACCAGCTTCACAAGGTGTACAGGGAATTTTTAAGAAGTAAAGTTAAAACAGGTGGCAATACAATCAGCACAATCCAGACTGTGGACAACTGAAGATAAACCAATTTCTTTCTTCTTTACTAGAAAAATATACTTTTTAATTGATTTTTAGAGAGAGAGAAAGGGAGAGGGAGAGAAACCTTGATTGGCTGCCTCCTGAACACCTCCCACTGGGGATTGTGCCTGCAACCGAGGCATGGGCCCTGACCGGAATCAAACCAGCGACCACTCTGTGCATGAGATGACGCCCAACTAACTGAGCCACACTGGCCAGGGTACAACCCAAGTTCCTTAAAAAACATATTGCAAAGAAAAAAACATAAAGGGAAAGTTACTATTAAAAGATTTAAAAGACCTATCCACCAACTGCAACGTATGGCCTCTATTTGTATCCTGATTGAAAAGAACAAACCAAAAAACATTTAGAAAACTGAAACTTTGAACAATGGGTAGATATTATATAAGAAAGAACAGTATTATGCATTATCTCCACCCACCTTTTCAAAGACTCTTTACAGTTCAAAGATACATATAGAAATATAGGTCAATTTTTTTTTTAAGCCAAGTAAAGGGAGAAAATATCAGTTTGGAAGTAACAGGTGTCAAAGGCAGATGAGTGATCACATGAGGAAAAGGTCTGGCAAACATCCACTGGATTTGACTATAATTAGGTCACTGCTAAATCTTTCCCAACAGTGCGGGAAAGTGGTGAGGATAAGCCAAGACGCTGAGAACTAAGTGGGAATGGAAAGTAAGGACGTCCTTACTAGAGAATACTTTCTGGATTGTTTGCTGAGTAATCAAATAAACAGACTAACAGGAATATCTGAAGAATGAACTGGTCAGTGCCCCATGACTTCGGTTTTATTCCCGGATTAAACAGTATCAATGGAACTGCGTCTATTTGGATCACAATATTTTGGTGCCTGTAAAAATCACAAGCACCAAGTTCTCCTTGGGCAGGAGGCCCTCTGCTTACAAGTGCAAGTATAAGCCATATTTTGCAAGGATTTCCTGATGGTTATAATGAAAGCTATCCACATTTTATCAACTCAATTAAAGAAAAATATCCAAGTCCTAGGAAATCCTTATAACCCACAAGTAACAAAAACAGTGTCTCTTCCTATAGTCTACACAAATCACATAAGAGATGGCATTTTCCTTTCCCTAGGGTGGTCAAGGACATTGGTCATATCTGCAGCTCAACTTCAATAGCCCTAAAGTATCATACTACCTGGACATGCAAATTTGATAATGATTCTTGGTGCTGACCTGATACTCTCATAACTGCATTTTACATAATGTCTTTTATCTATCTCTGTGTTCCCATTTTAAAGTATGCATCCTTATAAACCTCCTAAAATGTATTGCAAACCAAAGTGGGAAAACTTACCTGGGACTCATGCATTTTCTGCTGCTCTTGGAAAAGTGCAGAAATCTTTAACAGTGAACCTAGGGCAGAAGAAGCAAGTAATTGAAGTCATGAGGAACCTGGCCTGTCCAACCAAGAACCTCCTGCTAAGAATCACCAAAGAGAACTCAATAAAATGACACCCTGTGGACACTCAAAAGGGACTAAAGGGTGGCAGAGGAGAAACACACCTGAACCATTGTAATCCGGAAAGGATCAGAGGTACTGAGGTGCGTTACTCTCATTGGTGAATATAAACAGACTCCTTTTTCAATAGTTGGCCACCATTAAATAAAAGGTGGGGGGAAATCCCATTATACTGTTTACCTATTTTCTTACAGTTTCTTTCAAGTGTGAAAAATCAGAGAACACAGAGGAACGCAGGATATGAGCTCTCAAAAATGAGATAAACGTGCACTGGGGCATGGTTTTGCTTATCCGACTAAACTTGGTTAGCGCTGCACTTAATCTTTTATTAAGAAAACGGTAATACAGTGGGCACGACACTTGGCCTGGGAGCCTGAGCCCGGTCAGCAATCCCACCTACAGGCCCGGACACCTCGGACAAGTCACCCCCCTTCTCAGGCCCAGTCTCTTCCTCTGGCACCGAGGCAGCAGGTCGCCCCTTGCAGCACCAAGGGGAGTCGGCACACACTTAGGTCTCAGAACCAAGGTCCTGATGGACGTTTAGAGGCACGTGTAGAACCTGGGGAGGGCGAGGCGGAGAAAGGGGTGGAGGGTGCGCAGGGAGGAGGCGACCCCGCTAGTCCCCCAGGTCAACGCGCCCCGCGGCGCACTCTCTAGGCCCCGCCGCGAGGCCCCCGGCCCTGCTCACCGAGGGCGGGACACCCAGGACGGCCCCGGGGCCG